TCAGCAGGAGAAAAAAAAAAACAAAACAAAACATGCATCTATTAACATCCAAAAATGGCATCACAGAGTGCTTGTCGCTTCAAGAAGTACAAGATACCTAAACTGCATTCAATTCTGTGTGTTTGAGCCCCAGCTGGTTAGTGGAAATTATAAACTAAAGAGCAAGACAGTTTTCCAATGAAGAATCAATGACAATTTTCCAGTGAAAAGTCAAAACTTACGAGAAAAGCAGGAAACAAAAAGAGAGGTATAATACATGAGTGTTCAAATAAATTTCATTGCTAAACCACTCAAGGCTTTGTTTCCACTTTCCACCTTGAAGAAATTCAGGAGGAATCCTTACCAGGAAAAGGAACATCCAACATTTTTTCCCCTCCATCAATAAGCACTTCTGAAAATCAGAACATGCTGAAGTTTTCTAATGATCTAACCAAAGCTGTATGCAGCCAGTGCCAAGCTGGAGTTTCTGGGGCCCAGCAGATCCAAGGGGTTTCTGTACAAGCAAATAATCCTGCCTGTACTCTCTACAAGTTCCATTTCTGGGAAGAAGGTACACTGACATCCCATCTATCCCTTCATGCAGTCAGCTAGAGTGCAGCCAGGCTTATCAGCCTCATGCCATGTCATGCTAAAGTAGCTATTTTAAGTTAACCCCAAAAAGTAATGTAAGAGCATTTATGTGACAAAATACCTCTAATTAATAAGCTCTGCAGGTCCCAAATTGTTTCCTTATAGACCCAACTTGCATGCTGGGATCTCTCTTGACAATGCTTCTTGGCTTTGACATTTACCTACTGATTCTTACTATGCTTTTTTCCATGCTCAATAGCCCTTTAATATTACAGAATTTTTGCTCCAAGAATATACTTATATAACTTGCTAAATTACCTCTTCATATCAGCATTGCTTGACTGAACTCTTGCTACAAAGAACAAAATTTACTTTCAGAAGATAAGAGGATTGGTATAAATATAATGCAGGAAAGAAGCATCCATTTTCACATTTATATAAACTTCCTTTTCTTGAATATGCTGGCAGTATGTTACAAGAAGTACTTAATTCTCTTCCAACGATGCTCATACATACAATAAAAAAAAAAACCCCACAGAAATCCAGTATTTGAACAACAGACTTTGAACAACAGACTTTGTACCAGACTGCAAATATTTTTTGTTCTGTCCTCTCAATTGATCTCATCTACTTCATGAAAGAATTCATAGACTGAACAGAGGCTGTGAACAATATTCAGTGGAATTCCTGGTAAATCTTGAAGATGCAGCAGAGGCACAGCCTGCTCTTCATGCTCTACTCTTCTCCCAGGTCTTTCAGTTCTCTTCATTCAGTAAACCCACAACCACAATAGTTTGTGGTAACTATTACAAATTCCTCAGAAATGTGAATACAGTTAACAGACAACCATCTCAAAAGGAAAGCAACTCTGGAACATTGTTAGGAATTGCAAAGCTGCATTATAGAACTGAATTCTTTGGTACAGATTGGCAACAACAAGTAATTAAATTATAGTAACTTAATGAGTCTCTGCGCACCAGCACAGCTGCAAAGAAATGAATTTGCATTTGACTCTAAACCATTTAACTTCACGACTCCAGTAGATTGAAGTCAGTGTACAAGCCATGACTGGAGATCAGTGGATCCGTAGCAACTTGCTAGGTCCTGGCCAACTATCCAAGGCAAGTGTAAAAAGTCAGCATGATTTGCTCTGGGTTACCCAGAAGACCCAAGAGCAGAATCAAGAACTTTGATTCTCTGTGATGTAATCCAGTGCTATGATCTTCCTTTCCATTATCATTCAATAAGATTCACAAACAGGTTTGCCATTTCACATACAAGATATGGCAAAATGTTGCATAAGTAACACCTGATTTCACCTCTTCCCCCTGATTAGCGCTACATTAGGCAGCCAGAGATGCAATAACATGGATTATTTACACATAGGATGAGAGAACTGATATTCTAAGTTTTACTCAGTTACTTTACCAGCTTTGCATGGGAAGGACAGGTTTTTTGGTAATAAGAACAATCAAGGGGCTAAGCTATGCTCACTTGGCTGTACAGGCTCTGTTCCCCATGGAAAGTGCTCTGACACTGATGAACTCAAAGTACCCTATTAAGGCAGCGTTACAGCCTTCCGGCAGCATCAGTACAGCAGAAGAAAAGGAACTACTCTAGGCAGGAAGGAGAGAGTATCTCTCTGTGCCTATTCAAGGAGACCTTACTTTGAACTTGCTGTTGACACTGTCTAACTTACAGAGAGAGATTCAAATTTTATGCAGCCAGGTAGCAGGGCTCTGATTTGCACAGAAAAACCTACTAGCCTTCAGGAGGGACAAAATTTCAAGCTCGTCTTCCTATGAAGGTCTGATGCTTTTGACCCTCCACTACCTCCTCCTTCACTATACCCTTCCCTTTTAATTGCTTCCTTTATAAATGTGCTTGATTCTGTAAAATCTGTAAATAGCGTAAACAGTAGAAGTAGTATACCTGTGACATTCCCCCACACCACCCAGTCTCTTACTGCTTGCCTGTTCATGGTTCTTGGGGCCCGGATGGGTGACGCCACCTTGAGCCTGAGGGTGCCCAGGACTAGCCCTGATCCAATGGGAGATTGTTACAAAGCTGGGACTCTCCTAGAACTTTTTTTTTATTTTTTTTGTTGGGGGGGGGGCAGGGAGGGGCAGGGGTGGGAAGAAGAAGCAGGTGTGTTTGGAGGGGGTCTGTCGCAGAGGAACAAGGTCAACAGGGGTTCCCCAAGGGCGGGGGTGCACAGGGAGTGGGTTCAGCACAGTGGGGCTGGGTAACAGCCATACTAGCCCTGCAAACGCATGGCTCATCCCCAGTGCAGGGACCAGGCTGTAACTGATACTGGCTCTGCACCAAATCTAACTGGTGACCTCTCCCAGCAGAGGTTAGTTACTGGAGTGGGGGTCAAGGATGGGGATCAGCTGGGTCTGGACATCCCATATGATACGTTACAACATGGCCTGTCATGTAAACTCACCTCCAAGAACAGGCGTTCATTTACATCTCATACAACTTGTGTTGCCCTCAATGATGCAGGGAATCTCGCCATGGGAACTGATTTACCCATAGACTGAAACAAAAAGCCCAACCCCATCCTGCAGAACTAAAGGCACAACTCAGCAGCACCATTAAGACACCAATTGCAAGGCAAGAGAAGATTAATTCTCACAGGTCCAGCTGGCAGTACATGGGCATAGCCTGAACCTACAGCTACCCTTTCTGAGGCATGGACTCAGCAGAACAGATCCACATAGACCTACAAGCCCTTTAAAAGGCACCTTGCAGCAGCACTAAGTCTTCTGCTTCAGGACTGCAGATCTCTTTGGATGTAAAACAGATTGATGTGAAGTGCTGTGCAAGGAGAGATTTTACTTTCAAGTGGAGGATTGTGAGGTTATGTGATTAAAGACTCATGTCCATAAACATGAAGGAGCACAGAGGAAGAACGAGATGGACGAACGCCAATGCCAGGCTCAAGTTCCCAGTCAGAAGCTAACTCATCTATAGTAAAACCAGCAGCAGCATTCCACGAGCCCTCTCTTTAAACACACCTCTGTGACTTCCAACATGCCTCCATGAAATGACAGCTCCGTCCCAATGCTAAAGATAAAAACGTTCAAAACTATGCATACCAACTACTACCAAGACAGAAACAAGCACTTGTTCATGACCAGTGCATCACACCATACCTTTCTTTTTAGTGCCCTGCTTAACCTTTACACAAACAAAGTGCTCTCCTTTTTCAGAAAGTCCCAAGATGCGAAGAAGTTCTTCCACCTCATCAACATTGTTGGGACATATTACACAGAAGGCATCGCCAGGTTGGTAGTCAAAGACTGTATCCTGTTTTAAAATATGAGGTAATTGTTATTAAATTGTATCACAAACCGAGGCCAACAGCATCCCTATTCCTAACAATAATCTTCCTACTATCGCAGTCACACGAAGTTGTATGTTCTTTCACTCCATACTAGGACTTCACTGTTTGGAGCACATCAGAAACTAAATACTGATGTTTTCTTTTCATGAATTTGAAAAATCTTTCCTTATCTGGTTTAAATATTTGGACACTCTTTACTAAGAACTGCTAGGCAGCCTAAACAGAAGGAAAACAAGTATCTATTAAGAAGAAGTATTAAATAATCAGTCCAGATCATTAATTACCGATGCACTTGGTTTCTGGTTTGAGAAGAGCAGAGAAATGAAGTCCTCATAATTAATGCAATTTCGTATAGAGATACATTATCACTGAAAGAAAATTTGCTGGTTAAACTATTTGATGAACTATGACTGAAATGACCCCAACTGTTTTTATTTTCTGGAGGAAAAAGAAAAATATCAAGATAAGAACACAGTGAAAGTTAAAAGGTATCTCAGATCTTAAGACTTAGATTCTACTTAGTTGGTTGAGGTTCTTGTGTGCAACTGCTGAAACCCTACTCAAGCTTCTGCTTGTTAAAGTAACATACAGGATTATACTTGCATCATTATGTTTCCCGTACGCATCAGGTGAGGTGACCTGCATACACAGACTGTTGAGAGTGTTAGGAAAAAAAGGCAAAAAATGTACAAATTTTCAGTGGGTGCTGATGACAGGATGAATATATACATACAAATATATGCAAAAAAACATGTCATCTCAAGAGACTCAGCTGCTCAAAACTTAACAGACTCTATAACTACAATTTAAAGATATCCCACGGATGTTGACACAGATTAGGTTAATAGAGTCCAAGAAAAGTTGGATTGCAAAAGCTGGCAATAAAATGATTGCCAAAATCACAATATCCCAAAGGCAATACTCTACAGATTTGGAAAACTGCTCAAAAGCAACATATTTTCCTTTTAAAGATTTCTTGTAAAGTAGTATCAAGCATTCTCCGCCTTTCATCTTCAAAACAGTATACAAAATATGAACTTCCCTGAATAAACTAAACCAGTCTTTACACCTAGGGTAACAGAGGTTGACAGTTTGAGTAGCACATTAACAAGTCGGAGCAAATGAAGGCCAGAGGCAGAATAGTGCTCAAGAGCTAATGATTCGTACCACTTGATCATACTAGTCAATTATTACTTGTGTAAATTACCTACCACAGCGAATAGTCACAATTTACTACACAGTTTCTGAATATTCCCTAAGTTGTACACTTACAAACTGAAATATAATTCATTTTCAGTATTCCCTTCCTGCCCTTCTCCACTGCAAATTCCCTTCAAAAAGGTATTTCGGGCAATACGATATCCATGGAACAACAGAGAAATTAATTTGACACTTTATTTCTGTTTTGACTTCCATGGAGTCGTATCTTACAGTGAACAAATCAAGCTTTGCATTTACAAAATAGATCAGCCTAAGCTGACATTCTGTTCTATAGGGAATTCTTTTTTCTTTTTAAACAGTCAAATAAATGATTTTCCCCCCAGTTATTATACATAACACACATGCTTTTCATCCTTTATTTTAACCCACTAAAGAAAAAGGCATCACTAACTTACTTCAATATCAAGTTCTAAGAGCAATGCAGTTTTTATTGCATCTTCTCTAGTGAGCTGAACTGCTTTTGTAACTGGCACTTCAAAGGTTGTTCCCTCTGAAATCAGCGAGGACGGATGTGGATTCTGAAAAAGAGGACACGCAAACTTACACTAAAAATGCCAATCAGCTGAATGACAGCTTAATATGACATACGGGAATTACTGTCGGTACAATATTTTTGAAGTAATCTTAGAAAACAATTCAAAACAATGAGGAAAAACATAAATACTCTATATACATAGAGTGTTTCGCTCTACATTTTTAAAAATCACATCCAGGCAGTAACAGGCATATATACAACTACAAAGAGTCAGCAGGCTTTAACAGTCTAATGGGCCTAAACTACTATCAAGTGCAGCTAGCTGTTCCCTTTTTCAAGAGCTGCCTTGAAAATAGCCAATTAGAGAATGGCATTTATGTTAAAACCCAGAAAACTCCTGCCTAATTAAAGGATTACTAGGTGTAAAGAATGGACATAAGAAGTAAGAACAGAAGCTATTTAAAAACATCATTGCAGATTCACAGGTTAAGACTTCGGGGAGCAGATAGAGCTATCATTACAGACAATTTAGAAGAGGAATTTTAAAAACTACAGTTAAATTTAGAGCTAATGAGCAAACTCCACACTACAAAACAGCATAATGTTATGACATGAGATTTCTACATAGGTGAAAATATGCACCAAGAATGGTAAGTGGGCATCAAGAATAATTCCAGACCACCTCTGTCAAAAGCTGTCACTTGAAGATCAGACTACAGCCCTCATTTCTCCATCACTATTGTCAGCAAGCTTCATTTTAGATCAATACAGAAAAAATGAAAATAGGTAGGAGAGATACCAGATGTCCACAACAATACTCTGTCAAATGGAAAGGAATTATTCTACTAATAAGAGAACACTGGTTAATCTGAAGATTTCCTATTTAAAAAAAAAAGGAGACAGAAGAATCACTTGAGACCAACAGTTGGAAGTTTTATTATCATCTTGAAATTTTGACACGGTGATTAACAGCTTGAGCCATATCAAGTTACTGTGCATCAGCTGGACTGTGATAATGTCTACACTCATATTCCCTCCAAGTCAAGTTCAAGGCATAATGACATCAAGATTTAAACTAAATTGTATTATCTTACACTTACCACAAAGGTTTAAGATGCAGACTGCTACTGCTCTACTACTAATAAGCAGCAGCTTGTTAGTTCAATCCCAAGACTCAACAGCCCAGGACATAGATCATATAAGTAACTAGAGACCATGTACCCAGCCTTCTTTAAATGGTAGGGAGTCTCTTTTTGGAGACATCCAAACCTCAAGTTGAAGCATTTCAAAACAAGTCAACTTCAGTTGTGCTTGGCAAAAAACACCCATGCTTGTTGCAATGTGAGATACTGGAAAAGGACATGAATTGTGTCATACTTGTAAAAAAATATTTGTGAAAATATCCCCCCCTACATGGGACCTACTTGTAGACAAGGTTTAGCCAACTATGTGCCAAAGGAAAATAGTGCAAAAAAATAGTGCCAAAGGAAAAAAACCACAAACCTGCATTTGATTCTTTCCAGGGCTTAATACAACCATCCATCTTCATACCTGCAATGTGGACTATAATCTTTAATCTGTCACTGAATTCCAGATTAACAGATTCAGCTTTTTCAATTTGCTGTTCGAAAGCAAAATTTACTTTCTTTCTATTTACAGAAAAATTAAGGCATAATATTAGAACCTGATCCATTATTTCAGAGATCAGTCTGAATAGAGGCTGACCTTAAAATAAGAAAATGGGTTCTTGTAACCACCATAGCACCACTTTCAACCCAACTATTAGCCTTTAATCAAAAGAGTACCTCTAAATCATAAATCTTTGTATCAGCAACCTGGATTATTTAATTCAACAACCTGAGCAAAACCAACCACAATATGAGGTTTAAAAGAAGCGCAAAATTATCCAGTGTTTAAATTCATACAGTTACATAATTATATTAGTTAGACTAAGTGATTCTCTCAACATTACCACTGACATTCTCAATGGAGACTGTCAGGGCCCTTAGTATACTAACGGGCTTTCATGGTCCTGACCAGCCTCACCAGAGGAATCCACTCCCACCTCTGCTCATGGGCCCAGGAGCCCCATCTCAGCTCAGCCGTGGGTCTTCAGTCCCTGCCCGAGCTACATCACAGGAGTACTGGTCGGCAGCTCAGCCACAACCATGCTCATGGCTGGCCGCAGATCCTGCTGATCCAGGCCCGGATCTGCAGACCGACTTCCCAGCTTGGCCCCAGACCTGCCTCACTCCCACAAACTTGCCTAATGATCTGCACTCTTGGCTGACCCTGTCTGCCATCTCCTGGTTTGCATCGCTTGTGTATTGGGGGACAGGTCTGGCTGTGTTACCACACTCAGTTCCTGGCTCCCTGTCATTTAAAGAGCAGCCAGACCTCAGTGCTCCCGCACACAGATAACCAAAATGTCTGCCCTTTGGCAGGCAACCAGAAAAGTCTGAGTCATGCTTTCCAGCTCATTTTGAACACTAAATATGCCAGCTGGAGATGATTCCCAGCTCATACTAATGCTTCTCTTTGTACAGCAGGTCTTTGTTCAACATGGCGTCATAGGAAAAGCACATTGGCTTTTGATCTACAGTTCATCTTCCGTTTCCAATAGTAAAATTATGATCATGTTTTTGCAATGACAAGTTTCTCTGTTATTTAATAAGCAGTAAGATTTTGAGCAATTTTACACCCTCTTAAGGCATTCTGAAAGCATTAAAAATTTGAAAGGAAATTGTACTATACTCCTTACCACAGGAAGATGTTTTCACTGTCCTAATATAAGCCACTGAGGATTTTAATTCTTCCATTCCTGGCACTGCAAGGCCAAATTACTATTTAGCAAAATTATACCTTGACGTAAGTGTCCATAACTCATATGGTGGTAACTACATTTTCACAATAAATTTGGACCTTTCACTTACAATTCAAAAACCTCCTGTGTTCAGCAATGTATCTCCTGTATGTAAGTATCCACTTGCTCTTTTGAGCCGTATATAGGAGTATACATTCATGCTCCTACCAGAGTTGGAGGCTTTCATCATTCAAAGCGAAGTCCTTACCTCACCATGGGTGTCCTGAAACTGCACCTCTATATATTCTGGTGGCAAAGCAGGAATATTAAGGGCAGACTGAGAGACAGGAGGGACAGAACGAACAAGTGAAGGTTTGGCGTCTGTAGTTGAAGCCACAAGATTGACGTCAACCAGTTTCTGTGACAGAACATCAGAACTCCTCACTCCCTTATCTTCTAGCTTCAAGTTCTGAACTTCTGAGCTTAAGTTTAGCTCATGTACAACGTGCAGGCCTGCAGAGAGAGAGCTAGAAACAGCATCGACAACACTGCTCATGCCTTCTTTTTCTTTCTGCAATGGAAATGCTTCCTTGAGGGCAAGCCAAAGTCCATCAATCCAAGGATCAACCACTAATTCCAAACTGAGAAGGGAAGTGAAGAAACAAATAAAAAAGAAACAAAAAGAGAAAGGAATGGATGAATTATTGTGACTTACTGGACTGCTAATTTACAAATAATGAAAAGACCACAAAAGCTAAGAAGACTATTCATTTTCCATTTTTAATACATATCTGCAGCTGTTACCAAGATAACTAAATGAAAATCTTTTTTTAACAAGAAAGTTATTACCACTTTGTAAACGTATAGAGTCTAAAGTGTATAACAGCCTTGCTCTTCTTCCACCTTCTCATTTTTATTTTCTTACACTGAACTTTACGACAGGAAGTTGAAGAGATGGTAGCAAAATATGCAATTTTTCATTGTGCAACGGCAACATCAATAGCTTACACTAATGGTCCATTTTTATTATTTTAGAACACAACATCTAAGTTTTATGGTTATGGCAATGTTTGTGTTCAATTGTCTTGCATCAACATGCACGGAACAGATATAATCTGCAGTTCAAAATAAATAAGCCAAGACTGCAGCCTACAGGCCAGAAAGAGCAACAGAACAAGCAGAGAGTTGTTTTCTTACATAAATCTACAGCGATTAAAAAAAAAGAGGGTATTTTACCAAAAATAGAAAAAAAAAAATAAAAAACATTGTAGGGTTTGTCTAAAGCAGCTCTACTGCAAGATGTGAGTTTGGATAAAAGTCTAATGTGTACGCGGAAAGAGATTCCATTACCCAGTACCACATATACCGGGAACTGGATTTATTATTATTTGCTTCAGTAAACAGACTACATTTTTGACTCCTCCACTTACTCTGAATTCCTTAATTGACTGCTAAATACCCTCCAGTTTTCCAGGCATTACAAATGCTTGCTTACAGTTTAAAAATGGAGTTTTATTTAAAGGCAATTGATACTGAAAAGGTATACTGTGTTCAGACAGGACTCATTCCTATGAGGTGCCAAGTATTCAGGTCCAACTGATTTCAAAGAGCTCAGAACTTTTACCCAAATTCACATGTAATTATTGCATCTTGAAGAAAAAAAAATCCAAACTCATTCAGCTCTTACCCCACACAATCATCTGCTAATCCTGTGTTGTAGAAGTGCTGGGCACCAAGTTCCTGAAGTCGCCGGTCTACTATCTTTCCACCATTACAAAAGAACGTGTACTCTGAATCGCCCAGACCTAGCAAATTCAAGGAAAGAGGAATCATGTCAATCAGCTAGCCACTCAGGCTACACAAGCAAAGATCTGCAAAGACAACACAGGATTTTCTTGTGGGCAAACAGAAGAATCTGATATAGCAAAGTGCATGCTACCAGGACACTTTGCGGCCTTACAAAAAAATTGTGTTTGTCCCAAAGTAGAGCTGAAAAAGCAGTTCCTCCTTCACAAATGTAAGACACAGAATTTCTCTGAAAACACCTCGCTTTCAATATTTCACATTTTAGAAGAATGTTGCTTTAGTTTGAGGCTTTTAAAAAATACAAAACTGCTCTTACAGGAAAAGTGTAAGGAACTGAAATAATTAAAAAGAGTGAAACTGTATGTGAATTACCAAAAGAAATGATCTCACTTTCAGGTTAAATTTGTTAATATGTGTCAACAACATAACGGATAGAGTATTAAAAATAATTAAAAAATACTGGAACCTTAGAAAAAAATAATCAAACATAGGAGTGATTTATAATAATATGAAGTAAGAAATGTAGGAAAACATGCATAAGGGAATCTGGGCTTGGTCCAACAGCCTCCTCCCCATGAATCAGAGATATCTTTGTAGATCTCATTTTCAGTGCATTGGGTTTTCTGCCCTTTAACAGCCACGAAGATGTTCTGTTAGAAGATGCTCTTTGTTATCAGTTAAACAGTCAGCGCACTCAGGAGGTATGTTAATGGAGGATCTGAGATTTTAAGAGATCAACTAAACCACTGACTCACCCTAAAGTGATCAATCACACATACCTCATCCTTAACAGATGCTTGTCTAACAATCCCAAAGACCACTGGTTAGGTAGTCTTCACAAATTCTGTAAATCACCCACCCCACTTCTTCACTATCCTATCACAATTTTTCACAGCATGACCCTTTCTTGTGTGCTATTTCAAACCACTAGGTCCTTATTTATAACAGCCTTTTTTTCTTTTTTTTTTTTTAAAAAGACTTCAGCTCTTTCTCAAGTATGGTACTTAGAGTGAACCTTTCATTGGACAAGCTGAAATGGATACCATAAATGTATGTTAAGACTGATAACTTTTTAGACTAGAATCACAAAACATGTTATAACTTAGATACTATAATAATATCTGTTACAACAAAAATCAGTATTAATACAATGCTTATCTTCATATATGCATATGGACATCTGCATTCAGTCAGCTATGAAAAACCTAACCATTTCACAAACTGTAATGTATAACTAGGCAACAGCATAACATCTTCCCAAAATGTCAGTTGATTAGGATGCATAAATTTAAGACTTCAACATTATATATCCAACAGAAATTCCCTTCTTGTGGATACTTTCCTCATTAGAAACCTAGACGTTTCCTCACTCCTACCTATCAACTTAAACTTGTCAGGTAAAAATAACCTAGGTACAAACAGAAGTTTCTGCAGTTGTTAAAACACGTCCCGAAAACTCAACAAACTGACCTTACCATCAGCGCAAGATATATCAGATGCGCTTTGCCAAATCTGTATTTTGCATATCAGTCTTTAACCCAAAGCTACATTCCTTCTATTGATGAGTATGACATTCAAAATTAAAAAAAAACTATTGCAAATTTAAAGCGATGACCTTAAAAATGATGACCTTAATGATCTTAAACACTGATTTTTTTAAGAATATTTTATACTGCACTTCCCTCTGTATAGAAAAATGCCCAATTGCTCACAAAGTCAAGTAAACTCATACAGTCCATAGAGACTTGACACAAAATTAAAACTTCAAGAATTATAGATAGCTTATATCATATGTTGTTTATGCAAAGAAAATTAAACTATAAAAAAATTAAATTGGTAGCTTACATTCAGATCATTTCTGTGACACTTCTCCTTTATTGTTTATAGAGGACATTACACAAAAAGGCTGTTCACATTATAAAAATAAATGCTTTATAAGCACTTAAAAAAATCCAACTAATCTATTCACAAGTAAAAAATATAAAAATTATTCACTGACAGACAAGCATTGCAATAATATAGATAGTACTAAATTACCTAGCAATCCATACTGGAGATGTGCAAAATGATCAGGTGGCAAGGTCGTGTCTTTAATTTTCTTTACAAACTTGCGGGCAGTGTCTGGTGGGTCTCCAGTACCGGTAGTGGAAATAACAATAACTACAGGATCCTTTTCTGTTTCCAGGTTATACTACAAGTAATAGAACAAGTAAGTTACACGGTGCCATTTGATATCTATTTGTGCCTTAGATATTATCTTCCACCCTTCCTGTTCCCAAAGGTGCACAGAAAACGTTTAATCTCATCTTACCTGTATTAAACCACAGAAAGTCTTTCAAGTAATTACAAGTCATTTTGGGGATGCAATTGATAATCTTCATTGGAGTTTTCAAGACCAGATTGGGTAAAGCCCTGAGGAACCTAGTCTGACCTCAGCTGATCCTGCTGCAAGATGACCTCATGCAGTCCCTTCCAACCTGAATTATCCTATGAT